AAAAAAAAAACAAATGGCGGACAATTTGAATCATATTTCCGACGACGAAGAGTCAGAATGGCTGGCAAATATAGATCCAAGTTCATTAGATGAATCGAACGAAGAAAAACAGCTTGACGACCAGAAAATTTCTTCATTTAATGAAGAAAATAGAAACAGCAACACAACAACGCGCCAATTCCGTTCCGCTTCGCATACTTCTGTCACGCACTCCCCGTAAATAAATATCCGCGAAATTCGCCCGCACTGAAATAACAGTTTGGCGTGTTGGATAATAAATAACTTATTAGACGTTTTGTTGTGTAGTATCGCTGAGTATTTTTACGAGTTGTGCCGTATTTTGACGAGCCCGTAGGGCGAGTCAAAATACAAATAACGAGTAAAAATACTCAGCGATACTACACAACAAAACGTCTAATAAGTTATTTATTATCCAACACGCCAAACTGTTATTTCAGTGCGGGCGAATTTCGCGGATATTTATTTACGGGGAGTGCGTGACAGAAGTATGCGAAGCGGAACGGAATTGGCGCGTTGTTGTGTTGCTGTTTCTATTTTCTTCATTAAATGAAGAAATTTTCTGGTCGTCAAGCTGTTTTTCTTCGTTCGATTCATCTAATGAACTTGGATCTATATTTGCCAGCCATTCTGACTCTTCGTCGTCGGAAATATGATTCAAATTGTCCGCCATTTGTTTTTTTTTTTCGTAACTACATTCCAATTCTTCGCTTGCGCGATGCGAGAAAACCTTTTTAAACATGTACTCTACAATAGACGAGTAGAAATACCGCGTGATATTTGTACTCGTCTATGGCGTTGTTTGTACTCGTCTAGGTGTAGTTGGATAATAAAGCTGTTATTTTCTATTCACTGATAGCAACCGACTAATGGTCATTACTGGAATGTAAACATTATCAGATTACCGAGCCATTTTTACCCATATCTTAAAAGATAATTCAGACTATCTCACCTGTTTGAATTGAAAGGGAGTTGTTTTAAAAGAAATTTACTCAGACAACTCTGGATAAGGTCCAACCAAGTCAAAGATGGCTTCCACTTCACAGAAAAACTGAAGCCGAATAACGGGAGATTACTTTTATTCCTTTAGAACAAACAATATCACTTAATACCAATTTACATATAACTCAGTCCGAAAAATTACTAGAATACCAAACCTCTTAAAACATCAGGTTGAAGATGAAAAAACGAACTAGGATTAATTAAGTTTAAGTGAAAAGAGCGTGTGTCTGATGAACAGTGAGAGCGAACCAAGCCTTGATACGTTGGCTTAGAACTTTGACAAAGACAAGCCATCACAAAGGTTCCATCAAAGCCCATCCAGATTAAGAAGCCTAAAAGCGACTACGGTGACTTCTTAGAAAAGCCTGACGAGATTTGCAAATGTTCCCGTTATTATCCGTAAAAATTTCACAGAGAAGGGTGTCATGTAACCGTTTGCAAAACGAGATGATTTCGTAAGGTGCACATAAATATAGGTATCAGTTATCAGGTAAGGTGTTCCTACTTTAATATTATGGTTAATTATTAAATAAATATCTACTTTCGCATTAATTTTATAGATGTTTCTTGTACAACAATCAGGAAGTTAAAGAAAGAGAGCGAGACGTAGAAAAACATCAATATGGCAAGAAAGCAGGCTTGAAAAAAGAGGAAAGAAGCCAAGGTAAATTTCAGTAGATCACTTTTGAAACCCATCTTGGTTTCAATCAATAAATCAGAGGTTTTTAGTAATTATAATGAACGTAATGAAAACAAGGTTAGACTCTCAATCTAAGAGTCAGCTGTTACCCCATAGGTTAGTTAAAGAAAACCATTTTGAGCCCCTTCTACAGGCTCTGTTTACTTCTTAAAATACTTTATTTTCGTCCGCAAAACCTTCCTCATCAGTGCAAGTCCCGCTCCGAGGCTTGACTACCACCACAGAGCTCGTGCAAGGCATCACTCCCTTGATCTTCTTTCTGAACTGATGGTTTAGGAGGGAATAAACAAAGGGGTTCACAGCTGAATTAAACAACACCATCATGTCAACGGTGGTTATGTAGACGAAGCTGATTTTCAGATTCGTGAGAAATCGTAAGACGTATTCAACTGACTCTGCTCCCCAACAAACTGCAAATATGACACTGACTGTTATGACCATCAACGTGCAGCGTTTCCTCACCTTCAACACACTCTGTGAATGATATACAAAAACAAATTTCAGCTCAGGAGCTTTTCTGTACATCTGTCAATAACCAACATAATCCTGACCAGCCAAAGTTTTTTCTGTTAATTGTAAGGACATAGTTGTATCAATAGACTTGTCATGCAGGTTCTTCGAGAGTTTGTGCCAAATTATAAAAACTCCGCTAAATATGTTTTCCTTCAGAACCGTCTTATGATGATAAAAAGAGGCCTAAACTAAGCTTATTGGTTTGACTATTCCAAACATAACTTGCGGTAATTAGGAACTCACTCTTTGTTGATAGTTTAGATGGTTGCCATCATCAGCTTTGCACCATAGTGTGTACACTACTTTAGAGTATAACACAATCATTATGCCAACAGCAACCAAGACCAGGGCCAGCCAGGCTAAGGAATAGGCTGTGATCATCCACTGTTTAGCCCAGCTTTGCACACAGTGTTTTTTCTCGTCATCAAAGGTACGGACAAAAAATTTTGGTAGGTTGAAAATTATTGAAAACACCCAGGAACTAAGGATGATCACCTGAAAGGAAGATTGGAAGAGTTTAAATCCTCAATTTTAAAGGGATTTTACTTTCATCTCAGGTGTTTTTATTTACTTGTTTAGCTATTTAATTTACTTCTCCAGAGCGGTCATGAATACTCATACTGGAATCAAATTCCGACCTCTTCTACTTCTAGAATTAATCTGTTTTGTTTCAAAGAAATGAAGTATGCCTCGTTAGTATCTGTGAAATGTTTAATCTAGTACCCTGTATTTACGAACATAAATGCATAAGCAATGACCGTGAGTCCCAAGGTACTAAGGTACGTAGTCCAGACGTAACCCCATTTGAGTTCGCGAATAAACAGGATTTTGAATAAATAAATATCTCTTGATTACAATCTACTTTTCATAACAGCTGTGACCTCACCAAATAGTATATAAATTGCAGATTAGAACAGACGAAGCTGCATGTATAACATAATCACTCGTAATTTATCCTGAATAGCCTGCGAGAGAGGGCACTCAACCCCTTAACTTGGTAGGTCGACGGGCAATGTTTTGACTCACCTTAAGCTTACCATACCCTACGTACCCGTCTGGACTACACCCCAGCCTGCGAGAGAGGGCACTCAACCCCTTAACTTGGTAGGTCGACGGGCAATGTTTTGACTCACCTTAAGCTTACCCTACCCTACGTACCCGTCTGGACTACACCCCAGCCTGCGAGAGAGGGCACTCAACCCCTTAGCTTGGTAGGTCGACGGGCAATGTTTTGACTCACCTTAAGCTTACCGAGGGTCAGTTTTTTATTTGGATCCATTGGATAAAGCACAGTATAATATCGTTCGACAGCAATCGCTACTAAAGTAACAACTGAGGTAATTCCAGGAAGCCAAGCCAGATTCCCACCTGTCACCAGCTTGCAAAGAACCGAACCTGTATTTCCAACCGGGTGAGTTATATTGAAGCTAAGGACAATCTTTGGTGTGATGAGTATTGCAAACAGGATATCGGAAATAGCCAGGTTGACCAGTAAATAATTTATCGGAATCCTTTGGAATCAAACAGCGAACTCAAAAAGGTCAAAATGGTTATCAAGAAGATATTAAGTAACTAAAAAACTGTAAAGTGTCAAATATTTCTAGAAATTCATTCAGATATAAATCTGTAGAAAAAAGGGGAAGAAGAGTCAGAAGAGGCATGAAATGAATATGAGTTTCATTGAAATTTCTAAAAGATAACCATCATTTTTCTAAACGACTTTACGTTTAATAGACTGATTCTAAATTACGAGTAAGTCAACTTCAGTATCTAAGTTTAAGTTAAATACAGAAGTTGAATTAGATTTCAACTTGTGGGTGTCCATACTAAAGACGAGAGTAGTAGCCCTAATGATGACAATATGTAATTATCTCGAGCTGCTATGGAAGGACAGTAAACAAGTGAGGGTCCCGGTCTCGTTACTGCAAGCACGCACGACTTTTAGAGAAATTCACGCGTTGCGTATATGTGAGGTAGTGGATACCGTCCAATCGCAAAATACTACGAAGCAACATATTCATTATAGTTATTCATTAACTCAGCCCTGATCATGTGCTGTCGTTTCTTATCTCGTGATATCACTTTCAGTTGGCCTTCCACTTTAGAACTCGCCTTTGTCGTTAGTCTATTGGAAGACTTCTGGTCGTCTGGTGTTGTCCTTCTATAAAATGCACAGCCTTTAGGAATGCGCATCACCGTACTTGGTTAATTTTCGGGAAGAACATTGCCTTACTATGTCACTGATTCCTTCCAAGACGATCGAACATTTTCCTTTTACTTTTACCCTGTTTCCTTTCTCTCTTCTTTGCTGTCTGGCTGTTCGGGCGGGCTGGATCACGGGGGAAAACGGCCTCTGTCTTACCTTGATGAGGCTTTGCTTGTTCTTTGTTTGTTTGGTATTATATATCTGTGATTGTTGTCTTCTAAGTGCATAGAATTATAAAGAGAAAACTTCCCATCTCTGATCTTGCGTACAAGATTTTCAGAGAAATCTTGAGGTTTTCACAGGTCACGTATGTTTCAGGAGACAAATAACACCTTATGCTGGTTCATAAATTCTGGGATCATGCACGTCTTTCTGCAGTAATATTTACGCGTCATACATTGTGGCTTGCCGCCTTGCACACACCTATTGCCAAGCTCATGAAATGACGAGGATTATAAGGGAGGAACATAAGAGGAAAACAAGTGATTCAAAATGTTCAATACTATTTTTAAAGAGTGAAGCAAAAAGTATAATGGCGGCATACCTCATCTGGCGATATTTTTTTACAATCAAAAAAACCAGTGTATTTCCTGTGATGTCCACAGCGACGAGTGTTAACAGCACAGCAGTAATCACGACATAAGCTGTTTCAGACGTGGACACGACCATGGCGTAGAGATCAGTGTTGGCTATGCATAACCTGGACAAAATAATAATAATAAAAAAAAAGTTGGCTATTCTTTTTGATATATCTTTTGGGACAAGTTATTTTGGTTTATTTTCACCAAGTACAAAGGAATTCTGTTTGAGCTCGACTCGACGTCAGAGAAAAAGTGATGAATATTGGAACCCAAAGACGACGTATGCAACCTAGGATTTAGTCAGGCAATCTTGTACCCAACATGTAATAAATACATCAGGAAAAGAAAACAAAGCGGACAATTGTAAAGAGTCAGAAACTAACACCATGGACTTATTGGCCGAGAGTGATTTGATGGTACTTTGGTTTATGGATTTAATGAATGTAACCGGGAAAATTATAATTCATCGCCCCAATGTTTCGACACTCCTGTCTAGTGCTTTGATCAGGGGGGATCTAATCGTTGCACAATAGGTCCCTTTATTTTCTCACTGATCAGCTGCCCTTTCTTCTGACGAGGTGTAGATAGGAATCAGTAGTAGGCCGCCTTCATCACGATGTAAGGGAGTGGGAGCGGAGTTGATATGTCAAGCTTCCAAACAAAGGCGCTGGCGATAGCGTCGTTTAGTGATGATAATTCTAGAATCTTCCCTCTCAATTGTGGGGTTAGTTTGGTATGTGTGCTCCGACAAAGCTCAATCCTCATTTACAAAAGAAGACCGCAGCGGCTACTCAAAACTGACTTCACCGTCGCATTTGGCAGTGCACAATCTCTATACAGGCAAAGTGAGCTCCGCGTTAAATTGCATGAGAAATGGATGTCAGTTTTCAGTCAAGTGCAATTTATCGCGGAATTCACGCGATTCATGGATTTTCCTTGAATCGCACAATTGAAAAGAAAAAAGGAAAACAGCAATAATATTAAACAACAACAAACATATGAAACATATGTGTGAACTGCGGTTATGAGACGTATATGAGAACGATCCTTCGCAGTAAAGCACTATTTGAGCAATAGTGAAAATCAGACCTGAAAAAAATTTCAGGCCTGTACGGAATTCGAACCACTGACCTCTGCGATACTAGTGCAGCGCTCTACCAATTGAGCTAACAAGCCAACTGGGAGCAGGCCATCAAATTAATTCGATATAAACCCGTAGATGATAAATCAAACAACAACAAACATATGAAACATATGTGTGAACTGCGGTTATGAGACGTATATGAGAACGATCCTTCGCAGTAAAGCACTATTTGAGCAATAGTGAAAATCAGACCTGAAAAAAATTTCAGGCCTGTACGGGATTCGAACCACTGACCTCTGCGATACTAGTGCAGCGCTCTACCAATTGAGCTAACAAGCCAACTGGGAGCAGGCCATCAAATTAATTCGATATAAACCCGTAGATGATAAATCAAACAACAACAAACATATGAAACATATGTGTGAACTGCGGTTATGAGACGTATATGAGAACGATCCTTCGCAGTAAAGCACTATTTGAGCAATAGTGAAAATCAGACCTGAAAAAAATTTCAGGCCTGTACGGGATTCGAACCACTGACCTCTGCGATACTAGTGCAGCGCTCTACCAATTGAGCTAACAAGCCAACTGGGAGCAGGCCATCAAATTAATTCGATATAAACCCGTAGATGATAAATCAAACAACAACAAACATATGAAACATATGTGTGAACTGCGGTTATGAGACGTATATGAGAACGATCCTTCGCAGTAAAGCACTATTTGAGCAATAGTGAAAATCAGACCTGAAAAAAATTTCAGGCCTGTACGGGATTCGAACCACTGACCTCTGCGATACTAGTGCAGCGCTCTACCAATTGAGCTAACAAGCCAACTGGGAGCAGGCCATCAAATTAATTCGATATAAACCCGTAGATGATAAATCAAACAACAACAAACATATGAAACATATGTGTGAACTGCGGTTATGAGACGTATATGAGAACGATCCTTCGCAGTAAAGCACTATTTGAGCAATAGTGAAAATCAGACCTGAAAAAAATTTCAGGCCTGTACGGGATTCGAACCACTGACCTCTGCGATACTAGTGCAGCGCTCTACCAATTGAGCTAACAAGCCAACTGGGAGCAAGCCATCAAATTAATTCGATATAAACCCGT